GCTTTTACCTCACATAATCATGGCACAGAATGATCCTTCATGTATTATCACTCATATCATGGCACAAAATGGTACATCGTGCGGCACGATATCACCCTTCGTGCTTTAACCTCACAATATCAGCATGACATCACCCTTCCTTAATTAACACTCTCTCACAAATATCATGCATGACATCACCCTTCATGCTTTAACACTCTTTCTTACCCAAACAACAATCACAAAGCAATAAGGGCAAGGGAATCAATAAAATCACAATAAAATCCTGGCAAGGGAACAATAATATACCAACCATATCCCGGCAAGGGAAATAATGTCAAAACAATAACAGCCCGACAAGGGAGATAACATCAAAAGTAACAACATCCCGGCAAGGGAGACAATATCATAAACCTCTTCTCTTTTCCACATTTATTTCACCACTCAATTCACAACTTGAGCCAATGCTCTAAAATGTTCAATTGCCAATAATACTTTCACACGTTATTTTACAACTTGAGTCAATGCTCTTCAATGTTCAATTACCAATAATACTTCCACAAGCCTTGTTCAACAAAAGAAATCATCATATAAAACATGAACAATACAAATCAGAGTCACATTAATCATAGTATAAGACTCACGGGCATACTTGACACGCACGTATAGATACTCATCACCATGTCTATACATCATACTCAACAATTAACACACAGGAAAAAAAGACACGACTCCTAATCCCTCAAGCTAATGTTAGACCAAACACTTACCTCGATGCCACGAACACAATTCAAGTCTCAACTACCACTTCACCTCTTGTTTCCACCACCAATTCGCTTGTTTCTAGCCACAAGTTACTTAATTATATTAATAAATGCTAAATGAATCAATTCTAATGCATGAAGATAAGTTTTCCAATGATTTCCCCAAAAAGTCAAAAATCGACCCCGGACCCGTAGGGTCAAAACCCAAGGTTCGAACCAAAACCCGATTATCCATTCACCCACGAACCAAAATATATAATTTGTTTTGAAATCAAACCTCAAATCGAGGTCCAAATCCCCAAAATTTGAAAAACCTAAGTTCTACCCAAACCACCCAATTTCCCCCATGAAAACCCTTGATTTTGAGTTGAAATCACGTGAAAAGATGTTAAAGATTAATGAAAATGAGTTAAAAATGACTTACAATCGATTTGGAAGAGTACTTGTCTTTGAAAAATCGCCCAAAGGTGTTTTAGGTTTGAGAGGGTTTGAAAAATGAGAAATTTTCGGCTAAGTTATGATTTAGCAGGTTACAGATGTCGCAATTGCGACCAGGATTCGTAATTGCGAACCCCTTTAGGACCTGCTAACATCGCATTTGTGATCAGATGATCGCAATTGCGAACTCGCATTTGCGACAACTGGGGATTTCCGGGTTATTCGCATTTGCGAAGAAATGCTTGCAATTGCGAGCAAGTCTGGCCAGGGCTTACTTCGCAATTGCGAAGTGCCCCTCGCAATTCCCAAGCCTGACAGGCTCTCAATTGCGACACCTGGCCTCGCAATTGCGAGATCAGAGCCTGCAACACATACCAACTGAAAATCTGAAACTTCCTAAGTCTAATTTCACTCCGCGGCCTATTCAAAACTCATCCGAGCCCTCAGGGCTCCAAACCAAGCATGTACGCAAGTCCAAAAACATCATATGGACTTGCTCGTGCGATCAAATCATCAAAATAATACCAATAACTATGAATTTAGTATCAAAATCAAAGAAAAATATCATGAACTCTTAAGCTCCATTTTTATCAACCGATGGTCCGATTCACGTCATATCAAGTTCGTTTCTTACAAAATTTTACAGGCTCAACTTAAATCCTATATAAGACCTGTATCGGGCTCCGGAACTAAAATACGAGCCCGATACTATCAAATTCAAACATATTTAAATTTCTGAAAACTCTTATAATTTCAGTTAAATATTTTTCTTCAAGAAATTCATTTCTCGGGCTTGGAACCTCGGAATTCAATTTTGGGCATTCGCCCAAGTCCCATATTTTCCTACGGACCCTCCGAGACTGTCGAATTACGGGTACGGGTCAGTTTACCTAAAATATTGACCGAAGTCAACTTAAATTTATTTTAAAAGCAAAATTTATCATTTTTCTCAGATTTTCACATAATGGCTTTCCGGATACTTGCCTAGACTGCGCATGCAAATAGAGGTGAGACAAAAAGAGGTTTTAAAGCCTCTGATCATAGAATTTATTTCTAAAATAAGTGATGACCTTTTGGGTCATCACAGTGAGGAACCCGGTTCCTTATAGAAGCAAAAGGTTGAGTTATCAGGTTTAGAGAGCTAGAAGACTCTGAAGTCTCAAAAAGTGCTATTAGGTAGAGTCTTGACTCTGATATTGCTGAAAAATGGAGGAACTTCTTGATATTGTTGAGTTTCAAAAATAGAATCACCTCTTTGTTGCTCCAAATCCCAACATTTATGAAGAAGAAGTAAAAATTTCTATGTTTTATGTGACACTCTGATGCTATATGTGCATGAGACTAAGTTTGTTCTTGATGAGAAGAAGCTTGGGGAGATTCTTGGTGATCTGATTGATGGTTCAACCTACTCAGATAGGTTGAGCACCAGGTCCTCGTAGACGCTCGGCAGAATAAAATGCTAAGTTGAAGGGTGAGAATGAAAGATTGAGGAAACAGGTGGAGGAACTGAGAGAGCAGATGGTCATTGATCAAAGGAGAATAAATGAACAAATGGACAAGCTCATCAATGCCTTAGCCCCTTACTTTTCCTCTTGCCCAGTGATTCATGTCTTTCACTCCTTCCAAATTCCCTTGAATTTTTATCTTCTTTTGATTCTTATATTTGATGACATTGGTACTTTAATTTTTTAAATTGTCATATCATGTATTATTGAAACTACTGTTCTTTTATTATAATTACTCTACTATGGACAATCACTCTATTTTGTGCAATGACATTCACTTGTTGTTTTTGTTATTGTTTATGTTGTGTTGCCCAAGTGGCATGAGTTAATGTTGCTGAACTTCTTTTTGGTTGCGCTTCTTCTGTTATTCTTTTCGATGATGCCAAAAGAGGGAAGTTATATAGGTGTCAACATGGGGAGGAGCATAATTGAATTGATATGTTGTGTTGTGCATGAAAGATAGCTCTGCTTCGCAGGGGAATGTTGCTGATAATATATTGATTATAGGTCTGATCCGCAGGGAAACATGGAAGGAATCTGGTTCTCAAGTTTTATATTAATTTTGGGTTTGTCATCATCAAAAAGGGGGAAATTGATAAGTTATGGTATTTTGAGTTTTGATGATTTGCCAAATAGTCTTGAGGAACCAGTTGTGATCAGTTCCTTAGGTTTGGTTCTTAGGAGGGATATGGCTGATTTGTAGGGGGAACAATGTGGAGATTCGATTCTCAGGGGAAATATCAATTATATGTTTGTCATCATCAAAAGGGGGAAGTTGATAGGTTACAAGTACTTTGGGTATAAGTGTTTTACTTTATTTTTTTATGATCTAACAAACTTACCATCCAGAACCAGAAAAGGAACCTGTTACACATTTACAAAACCTTGAGATCACAAAGTTCTAGGTTCAGATTCAGCGTGTGATATAACTCAACTCTTCAAAGTGGAAGGAACATATGAGGGAACAAGTCTCTATCAGTTCTTGAGGAGACTGTATGAAGTCAACTCTCCAATTGGAAAGTTGCTTCCTGCACACGCTACTGTACAGGAACAGTGCAACAATCAACTTTCTATGGAAGACTTTTTACCTACCTTGCTTACATCATTGTAAGTTATGTCGCACATGTATAAATACAATCAATGAAGGTAAAACAACTTATTTCATAGGAGAACAAGATAAGGAATCTAATACAATTAAATTCCCTTGCATTCTGAATAACTAGTAAGATGTCTGGTTCAATTCTCAATGAAATCAGATAAGGAAACAGCAGAGGGACCAGATAGGGTTCAGGTTCCCTCATCATTGTACAGTCAACTCTACAACTGTAAAAACTGCTGCACTGTACCGTCTGGTAGATTGCTGCACTGTACCGTCTGATAGTAGTACAACAACACAGCTGTAGCTTGCTAAGGGCAAACTAAAAGGCACTTTATTACATCATCCTTGTCTTGTTCTCTCATGAAGTAAGTTGTTTTACCTTCCTTGATTATATTTATACATGTGTGACATAACTTACAATGATGTAAGCAAGGTAGGTAAAAAGTCTTCCACAGAAAGTTGACTACTGCACTGTTCCTGTACAGTAGTGTGTGCAGGCAGCAACTTTCCAGCTAGAGAGTTGACTTCATATGGTCTCCTCAAGAACTGATAGGGACTTGTTCCCTCAGCTGTTCCTTCCACTTTGAAGAGTTGAGTTATATCCTACGCTGGATCCCAACCTGGAACTTTGTGATCTCCAGGTCTTGTAAATGTGTAACAGGTTCCTTATCTAGTTTTGGATGGTAAATTTGTTAGATTATCAAAACATAAAGTAAAGTACTTATGCCTAAAGTACTTGTAACCTATCAATTTCCCCCTTTTTGATGATGACAAACTTAGAATTGATATTCCTCCTGAGAACCGGATCTCCACATTGTTCCCCCTACGAATCAGCCATATCCCTCCTAAGAACCAAACCTAAGGAACTGATCACAACTGGTTCCTCAAGACTATTTGGAAAATCATCAAAACTCAAAATACCATAACTTATCATAGACTTAGGAAATCATTGTATGGTTAAAAACAGGCTAGTAGACAATGGTATTATGATAAATTGACAGAGTCATTGCATTCCAGGGGTTTCAAGCATTCAGCTAGTGATTACTCCTTATTTTACAAGAAACAAGGGACCTCAACAGCCTTTGTAACTGTATATGTGGATGATGTGATCATCACTAGAACCATTTAGAGGAAATTAGAGACTTGAAGGCTTTCCTGCATCATCAATTCAAGATAAAGGATCTTGGGAAGTTACATTACTTTTTGGGGTTAGAGATGCGGTACAAGGGAGATGGAGTATTAGTTTGCCAGAGAAAATTCACCATGGATCTATTAAAGGAATATGACTATTTAACATACTCTTCTGTCAATTCTCCACTTGATCCTACCATCAAATTAAGAAATGAAGATGGAGCCTTATTGCCAGATCCAGGGTATTACAAGAAACTAGTTGGGAAACTAAACTTTCTGACAAATACTAGATTGGACATAGCCTATAGTGTCCAACATTTAAGCCAGTTCATGCAGGTATCAAGGGAACCTCATCTAAAGGCTGCTATACATGTACTTAGATACTTGAAGAAAGATATTACTTTGAGAATTTTTCTGTCCAATGGTCCTAACTATACTGTTAGTGCATACTGTGACTCAGACTGGGCTGCTTGCCCTGACTCAAGAAAGTGTGTGAGTGGATATATTGTGCTACTTGGAGACGACCCTATCAGTTGGAAGTCAAAGAAGCAAACTACTGTTTCACTGTCTTCCACAGAAGCAGAATATAGGTCTGTCATGAAGGTTGTTGGTGAGTTAGTATGGGTGAAAAGGTTGCTAGAAGAATTGACAGTTATGTGTACCAATCCCATAACTGTATTCTGTGATAGTCAAGTAGTTGTGCACATTGCAAGAAACCTTGTATTCCATGAGAGAACAAAGCATATCGAAGTGGATTGCCACTTTGTTCGGGACAAGATACAGGAGGGACTAGTTGAGTTACATCACATCTCCACCTCTGATCAACTGGCTGACAACCTGACAAAGGCACTCACAGGGATCAATCACTCAGATCTTCTCAGCAAGTTGGCAGTGAATTCCTCACTTCCAACTTGGGGGGGGGGGGGGTTATTGAGAATGACTATATTTATAGTTAGTGATATAGTAGTTAGTTGTGTTAGTTAATTTAGTTTTATAGTTGTTAGTGGCAGTTTTGTAATTACACTTTTCTTATTCTTACACACGTGTATATGCATACTTAGTAGAAATGAAAATAATACAGATTCATTTTTCCCAATTGTTCTCTTGTCTAGAACCTTCTCTCTGAAGCTCAGAGAGCGCTTCAATGGTGGAAACCAAATCCTTTTGATCTTCATTCTTAACAGTATTAACAATTTTAACAGTATTGCCTAAATTTCCATATTCATTTGGTGGGGAGGTTTTTTTTTTTTTTTGGAGGGGGCGTTGTATTAAATTTGCGACTACGAAGAGGTAGATAGTTTTGTCTTTACATCAAATGACGTCGAGAACTAACAAATGTTCATACGTCGCGTAACAATATCACATAGTACATTTTTTCATTTATTTCTTTCTTAGTCCATTTTTTCATTTATTCTTTCTTAGTGTTTTTATTTTCTTACTATCATACTACTTTTTTTTTCCTGAAAGAATACAAACCTTGCATGACGCATGGATTCAAATTCAAAGTAACTAGACGAGGTAGCCTGTCTAAATGGATTTCATGTACCTATTTGGATCAGTACCACTTTGTTAGTTTTCAAATGTAGATTAGAGTTATTTAATAAGTAACCTTCCTAGCTATAATTAAAGGAATGGATTCGGAAAAACAAATCCAAACTTTGGTAAGAAAAAAACTCATCTTAACCATGGACTAAAGGTATAATTGACTCGAAGAAGAGCCTCTTTTGTTAAGCTAGTTTGGGAAACTTATGTATCTTGAAAGACACTACTATGCATTGCAATATTTTGGAACCTTAGCATTAATGAAAATATCCTTATTTCTCAACTAAAGAAAAAAGGTATAATGGACTCATAAAGTCTATATTTTGCCTTTTTAATCATCCGAGACTTTTGTGTTATTAATTTGTTAGGTGCTTTGTAGAACGGCTTTTATTTATTACTTTTGCTCTAAATTGAATATTTGTCACTAATAACTTCAACGAATAGAAGTTAATGACAACTATGTATGTTTTGCAATTTTCTTACTTGAATAAAGTAACAAACAATATTTTGATGTATTTTAGCAAAATGATAATACAAAATGTCATTACAATACGTAATTGATAACATAAGGGGAAAGGCCCTAGAAATCCACATCACTATTTATATAGAAATTTGTTTAATCAGATTTTTGATGTATCTGAACACAATTGGAGTGTTCAACTGTCATATTGTATTGTTGTTTAATCAACATTTTAAGTAGTTTAACATAATAAAATTGAAATCAATGATTGACACAAATATTTATTGAGACTTAGAATTTCAAACAGGCTTTTCTTATTTATTTTACAGGAACCCCAATCATTTTTTTTTACCAAAGTTGGAGACTTAAGTTATTAATAATTTTGCAACCTTAAACAAAGTTTTAATTTGTTTTGGGGGAATGTCATTCATATTTTTACCAAAGTTAGAGATTACTTTTCTAAACTATATCTCTTTATTATGGGTAAAATACTTATATCAGATTATTTAATCTAGACCTTTAAAAATTAAAATAAGACTGAAAAAACATTAATACAGAGGAAGCAGATCCAAATATTAAGAGCTTTAAATTAAAGCAAGTCCCAGTTTAGAGCATCTATTTGCAAATTGGTGGCGGCTCTGCTTACAAAAAAACAGGCCACCATCTTCTCTGTTCAGACACATATAAAAGCAGAGCAGAGACAGCTCAACTACATCTTTGTAAGCCATTTCAGCATCTTCTACTTATCTCTTCATTTACATTAGTTTAATGTAAGAAAAAGAAAGTGGGAATATAGCAAAGGAGGAAAAAAAAAAGAAAAGGAAAAGAACTACTAGTATATATAAGAGTTGTAAAAAGAAAAAGTTAGGAGTGTGGACAGTAACTTGCTTTGTTAGATCTGTCATATCATTTGCATTCTCTTTTTTTTAGTAGTATATCCTAAAACTTTCTCTTCCTCCAGTGTACTGGTAGAGAAACAGAGAAAGAGAGTTGAAGATAAAATGAGGAGCTTGTGGTGGTGTTTAATGGTGGTACCAATCTTTTTCCTATTGGATTTCTCCAATGGAGAAAGCCCATATAGATTTTATACTTGGAATATTACTTATGGTGATATCTATCCTCTTGGTGTCAAACAACAGGTATTTTCATTTGCTCTCTTTTTCCCCTTTTTCTTTGGCGCGGATTCCGGCAGGGGAAAAAGCCTCTTGCACAAATGCAGGTAAAGTTGCCTACAATAGTGGCAGCTTAGTGCACCGGCCTTTCTTGTTTGGTTGTCATAACAACAACAACAACAACAACAAAAAAAACAACAAATCGAGTGAAATCCCACAAGTAGGGTTTGAACAGGGTAATGTGTATGGAGACCTCACCCATACCTTGTGTAGGCAGAGAGACTGTTTCCTATAGGCCTCGACTCAAAGATTTTGTTTGGTTGTCATATCATCAAGAATTGGTTTGGAATTGAAATATGTGCATTGTGTTGCTGTTTTCATGTGTAGAAATTTTTGTATATTTCAGGGGATATTGATAAATGGGCAATTCCCAGGACCGCCAATTGAGTGTGTGACCAATGACAACTTGATTGTCAGTGTTTTCAACAATTTGGATGAACCTTTTCTCATGTCCTGGTAAGTACTTCTCTTTCTATGAATATTTGAATGACCATTTTTACTTTTTATTTTAATAGTGAACTGCTTTTTTATGTGGATTTGGTAACCTTAGCCTGGAATCTGTTTAAGTTACATGTAGAAAACCAGGTCAATAATGTGCTATACTGGTGTCTGAGTTGCTGTTTAATATAGCTGTGACATTAGATATGTTGATCTTATTATATCATATTATAATGTAGTCTTCACCAATTTTGAATTATCTGCATAAGGTATTACTTAATCATGAAGAAATTGGCTTTCACTTTCAAAAAAGGACACCTAGATCTGAAACTCCTTTCATATAAAGATACAAGTCTTGAATAATATATTCATTAGCTGAGATTCTCTAATGTTTAGTAAAGACTAAGCAATTTTGAACTATTAGATTGTTTATCACTTTGTAGTTAAGCCTCATTATGTCTTTCATGTTTGTCATCTGCCTGGATAGTGAGTAAAACCTTAATAAGTATCAGAAGTTCCACCATATATATATATATATAGTTAATAAAAATACGAAAATTGACTATTGGGCAGGGATGGTATTCAACAGAGGAGGAATTCATGGCAAGATGGAGTTTATGGGACAAACTGTCCGATCCCACCAGGCCAAAACTTCACATATATCCTACAAGTCAAGGACCAGATTGGTAGTTTCTTCTATTTCCCTTCACTGGCTATGCACAAAGCTGCTGGAGGTTATGGTGGCGTTAAAATAGATAGTCGTCCGCTGATTCCTGTTCCTTTTCCTCCACCTGCTGGAGAATACACCATGTTGGTTGGTGACTGGTTCAAGCAAAATCACACTGTGAGTAGCTTATGAAAACCAATTCTTGAGACATTTTATGGATTGATCAACTGACTCTGAATCTTATTGCACATATCACAGGATCTTAAGGCGATTTTAGATGGAGGAAGTGATCTTCCATTTCCTGATGGCCTTCTAATCAACGGTCGCGGATCAAATAGTTTAACTTTCACTGTTGATCAAGGTGATCAATCTATTTATTGCATCAACTCTTGCTAAGTTAACAGTTCACATTTCTTGCTTTTATGTTGTTGTAACAAAGGATTCTTCCGATAAATTTTCTTTCCAGGAAGGACTTACAGATTCAGGATTTCCAATGTTGGACTCACAACAGCTATCAATTTCAGAATCCAGGGGCACAAAATGGTCTTGGTAGAAGTAGAAGGGACTCACACCTTGCAGAATACCTATGAGTCCATTGATATCCATTTGGGCCAGTCCTATTCTGTATTGGTCACAATGGACCAACCAGGGCAGGACTATTACATTGTTGCCTCAACACGCTTCACTTCACAAGTGCTAACAGCAACATCAATTCTTCACTACAGCAATTCTGCTGGAAGTGTTTCTGGTCCTCCCCCTGGGGGACCAACGATTGAGATTGATTGGTCTCTCAATCAGGCTCGATCCGTTAGGTACATTGTGATTTTTTTTTTCCTGAAGTGAAGATCAGAACTGCCTGCATTCTTGTTCTATTGTTGCCTGTTAGATTAACCGATTTTAAGCCATTTTTGAGTGCAGGCAAAATTTGACAGCAAGTGGTCCAAGGCCTAATCCGCAAGGTTCATATCACTATGGGTTGGTTAACACCACGCGCACAATTAGACTGGCAAATTCTGCTCCAATGATCAATGGGAAACAGAGGTATGCTGTGAACAGTGTGTCATTCATTCCTGCAGACACACCGCTCAAACTTGCAGACTATTTCAAGATTCCAGGGGTCTTTAACCTTGGCAGCATCCAAGACAACCCCACTGGAGGTGGTGGTTACCTCCAGACCTCTGTCATGGCTGCTGATTTCAGAGCTTTCGTCGAAGTTGTGTTTGAGAATCCAGAAGATATTGTGCAGTCATGGCATATTGATGGACATATTTTCTTTGTCGTTGGGTAAGTTTCTTCACTTCAACTAGAAAGGTAAAGAAATGTGTTGGAAGTAATGTTTTGAGGGTAATGTTTTCGAGTTTAACTTTTATTGACTGGCATCTTCACCTAAAAGATAACTACACATAACTGTCTCTAATAAGTGGAATTAGTAACCTGAAAAATAAGATGGTTAACCTGCTTCAATACGTTATAATACAGCGATAGTGTGAAAATCCTTAAACTGTCGATATATATTAAATCCATGATGAACAGGATGGATGGTGGGCAATGGTCACCTGCAAGCAGATTGAACTACAACTTGAGAGATGGAATTTCGCGTTGTACTATTCAGGTATTTCCCAACATAACTTTTGAACTTAAAATTTTTCAAAGTTCGTCAGGTTTTTTTTTAGGTGTTTTTAACATTAATTTTCCTTTACTTGGTGATCAATAGGTCTATCCAAAGTCGTGGACAGCCCTATACATGCCATTGGACAATGTAGGAATGTGGAACATCAGATCAGAGAACTGGGCTCGCCAGTACTTAGGCCAGCAATTCTACCTTCGTGTTTATTCACCAGCCAATTCATGGAGAGATGAGTATCCAATTCCAAAGAATGCTCTTGTCTGTGGCCGCGCATC